GCCGCGCTCGGGGACCGCCCCCTGCGCACCCCCTATGGTGTCGAGAAAGTGCCACGCCTGCTATGCCCTGCGCCATGGCCCGCATAGACGCCGCGCTCGGGGGCCACCCCGAGCTGTGGCTTATGTGCTGTGTGCGCTGCGTGCTGTGTGATGTGCTGTGCTGAGCTGTGCTGTGCTGTGCTGCGCTCTGCTGCGCTGTGGTGCGCTGTGCTGTCTTGCGCGGGCGGAGGTGAGGAGGAGGTGGTGTGACTGAGGAACACGGGTGACGCGGGTGAGAAGAAAACCAGAACCCCACGAAACATGTGAGGAACAACAACAACAACAACAACAACAACAACAACAACAACAACAACAACAACAACAACAACAACAACAACAACAACAACAACAACAACAACAACACAACACAACAACAACAACAACAACAACAACAACAACAACAACAACAACAACAACAACAACAACAACAACAACGACAACGACAACGACAACGACAACGACAACAACAGCAACAGCAACAGCAACAACATCATCAACAACAACAACAACAACAACAACAACAACGACACGTCGGCTGGTGACTGCCCGAAGCAATCCAAGCGAGCGGCACCGAGACGCCACTGAATAAGTCACCCAGGTCAGTGGCCGTCCCTCTTCTCGCCTTGCTATTCGGGCCCGCGATGGGGCGCCGGAGGTGGGCGTTCGACCACCCCCCGTGGGCCCTTCTCCTCAATGGACCGCTGCAGGTCCCGAGGAGCGCGAAAGCGGGAGGAAGGAGAGGAAGGAGAGGGATAGGAAGGCACCAACTATACACCAACACCGATCCTGGGCCAGGATCGGTGTTGGTGTATAGATTGGTGCCCTCCGAAGGGAGGGGGCGCAAGCTAGGGGCGCTCGCGCCGTATCTGACGTCCTACCTCTCCAACACATCCCTTCCCTCAACGCTGATTTCCTCTATCTGTCAATGGGTGTCGTAGCGGACCTCGAACTATCAAAAGTACACCGTCGTGTAATGCGCAGACAGACGAGGGGAACTGTATGCATTGGATGGGGCGGAGGAGGAACAGAAGGAGCCAGAGGGTGAGCAAGAGGACAAGAAGGAGGATGAGGAAATGGGAGTACGAGGGGAAAAGCAGGGGAACGCCCATGACGAGGCAAAGGAGGATATCAGCCCGCAGGGCGCGGGCACAGGCAATCATCTGCACCAGCAGCCTCGGCGCAGAGGGAAGACCGGAGGGGCGAGGCAGAAAAACGGGAGGCGAAGAGGCCAGAATGGGACAAGGCGACAGGGGAGAGTGCGGGGGAGAAGAGTGGGCGGCAGTGGGCGGGATGACAGGGAAGAAGGGGGAGCAGAGCGCGCTGACTCCGCCGGCCGGCCGGCGGGCCCCCTAGGAGCGATGCGGGAGGGCCGGGGCCAGTTTAATGCTCGTGGTGGGTAGAAGGCGCCTTGCCAACTGTCCCACCATATCTGGTCACGAACATCATCCAACCAAGGTTTGCTGATTCCCCCAGTGGTAGTGTATGTAAGCTGTGACGATGCGTGTCGCACACCAGTTTTTGTTGTCCACAATGCATGCGTTGTCTTGGTCGAAAGCACCGGATTTGGGGGTCCCACGCTGCCGAAAGTCTTGTCCATCTGTGGTGCGATTGTGTTGCCACTCGCTTTGCCCAACGCCAAGTTCGTCTGTAGTATACTGTCGTCCGCTCGTCGCGTTGAAAGCGGGTGGCGAGATCTGCAGCCGCATGTGTGGCTCTGCGAATGAACTCGTCCCAAGGCTCGAGTCCCGAATCGACTTTGACGTCACCGAAATCAAGGTTCCTTCTTGCGTCGACCGTGCTGTCGCTGGTGTTGTCGCCAGTTCGTGCAAGGTTGGAGTGGGCGTCGGCGGCGGTTGCTGCATTATGTTGGGTACTCTCCTGGCGTCTCGGAATGCTCACAATAAGTCGTAACATGCGTCGCTGTGCACGCCGTAGCGTCAAGAGCACGTCTGTGGTAAGAGGCCACGAAGTGCAGCCCTACATGACTCTCGGTGTCACGGCGCCGCTGAACAGCTGGTGTCTGCTGTGGATCAGGCACCGTTTGTCCGTTGATTCGTCGCGCCTGTTTGGGGGAAGTTGCGCCGTCAACCCATTGCGACTCTGTCGGCGAGCTCGGTGTGGTGGTAGCCATGGCACGTAACCTTCTGGCCAAGGTACTTCGTGCTCTCCTCGTCGTTGAGGAGTTCGCCTTTGCCGTCTTCGATGTCCACGTGAGTAGCTGTTCGCCCCTGTCGCCGGCTAGTGTTCGTGAAGATCTTCGTCTCGTATGGGTGCAGCCCGTGCACACATTCTCAAACTGCTCATTTAAGATTGCGGAAAATACACTTCAATTGTTTTAGGCTTGGTGCGAGTGGAAGGACGCCGACGGTACAGCGCAAGTTGGTATGAAGTGTGGATTCGCAATGCCCCGATGTAATACAAAAACCCTTTCCTGTCCAGGTTGCTTGCTTGGCTCGAATTTCCGCAGCACGTACTCGACCACATACGGCGAGAGAGCCGCAATGTTTGCAACCCCGTTCACTGCTGAATCCCCTGCTGTCGACGTCGGTCCACACCGTCGCATTCTGCTCGCTGGAATATTTGTGGAACAAGGTGACGTAGGGTTCTGGCACACCCTGATCGCGTGGCGCTCAACAGAGGCAGCGGCGGTATACGCAATCGATCGCTTTCTTGCAGTCGACCGCCGATGCCCACAAATCCATCTGCCACTCATTGGAGCATTCGTATCACATCGTCGGGGTGAAAAGATGGTCCTCTGTGCAGAAGCCCTTGCAGAAGCCGGCTTGGCCAGGTGATTGTTGTGAACCGATATGCATCTCAAGTCTGTTGCAAAGCTGCGGGACCATCAGCTTGTACAGCAAGGGTATCATGGCAGTTGGCCTGTAGTTATTGGTAAGCTGTGGATCACCAGACTTGTGTACGACGCTGATGGTGGTGCGTCTCCATTGCTCGGGCGGTGCCTGCTCGGGCGCCAAGATGTCGTTGAAGAGCTTCAATACATGCTGTTCGATCGTGCGCCCCCTTGTTTTCGAAAGCTCTGCGGTAAAACCTGCCATGTCATTACACTTCCGCTTTTGAATTGAGTCGCTGCTTGGTGTAGTTCGTCGTCGGTGGACGGTGAACGGCGGAATGCTGCGCAAAATGTGAGCCGTCGGGTTGTCATTGACGTGGAAGGCTGCGCTTTCCTGCGCGGGCGAATGACCCACGGGGGGAAAACCCGTACAACTTTTCGCAGAAATCCGCAAAGACGTCAGCAATCTCACGTCAGTCTGTCTCGTGGACGCCGTCTGCCGTTGTCATGGCTGGCACGAAGTCCTCTTTCATGCTGGATGTGATGTAAGATATTTTGCTGAGGCCGCGGAAATTGATTATGATCTCGTTCAGCGCCGCTTGCCGTTGAGCTCTCTTGATGGCCTGGTGCTGCAATATAATACGTTCGCTGTGAGTTGTTCTCGTGGCTGTGTCGCTGTGCGGCGTGTACTGGCGTTGCGTGATGAGTGCTTGTTCGTGTCGCCAGGCTTCGTCGTCGAAACAAGGCGGCTGTTGCGCGGTTCACGACGGTGTCGACCCTCGTCCTGTTGTTGATGCTCCACGCAGGCTGGCCTGAGTGCCTCCTCGGTGCGTGTGCAAGCGTCTTGGGGGCCGCTTGGCGAATCGTTGCTCGTCGGGCTTTTTCCTTGCATAGTTCTGACAATCGGGGTCGTTACGTCGCGACGCCGTGCCTGCGGCGCGGTCGTCGCTTCCGCCGCCGTGGTCGTCCGCACGTCGGGCCGCCCTCGTGCCAGTCGGAGGTGCGCGGCCTGGTGGTCGGAGCCGCGGTCAGCGCAAGTCGTGGCGACTGCGTCGAGCGCCATTTTCAGGTCGGGCCTGCAGAAAGACTCACAACAAAAAAAAAAAAAAATGTTCAAAAATAGTCCAACGATCGTCCCCAGGCTATTGTTTGACTGTTTTTGAATCTCCTTCCTGTCGAGGGACAGGCCCGACTAAACACTAGGTGCCCGGCCTTCCAGTCCACGAGTATATAATCTATGTGCTTGTGTGCGTGTGTCTGGAGCCTGCGTGCGAGTACGTGGGGATATTATGCGGGTGCTTGCAGGACATCGTGTTTGGTATGATGAATTTCTGTACGCAGGCCCCCGATCATAGCTGGATCCCGAGCTGGTTGCACATGCCCAGACCGTACCTTCCGAGAGTGTGCCGATCCTCGTCGTTGGCGTTGCCGTCGTCGCCGTCGTCGCACGGTCTGTCAACTTGCGCATTGAAGTCTCCTACAAATATGATCGTTAACTTGTGCTGCTGGGCGTCGGCGACGATTTCCGTGAGCACGTCGTACACGGTCTGCACGTGCTGACCGTCGCAAAAGCCATGTGGAAAGCAAGCTGCCATGATCCGGAGTGAGTGCTCCCGATGCCCGATGCCAAGGTCGATGTATGCCATCCGTTCGCTCAGAGCTTTGAATGTACGCTGCGTTACGCGTGTCGCTTGTGAGCAAGAAAAGCAACACCACGAGTTGGAGAGTCGTGCCCTGAGGCTGCAAACATGTGCCCACCACGACACGTGACGTGACCTGATATTCCCGTTATTCTGTCCTCCGTTTTTTATTAAGTGCCACGACGTCCTACTGTACGTCCGAGAGCTCTTGCACATCAGGGGGGATCGGAGAGGATGGGGGAGGGAGGGGGGACCACGTCCTCCAAGACGAAACCCCTCTTATCCATCAGTCTTCGGCGGGCTTCAGCGGGCTTTCGCCGCAGAAGCTGACGGTCGGGCTTGGCAACGGGCCCAATCATCGAGCACCCAGGGGACGGCTGCACGGAAGAGGAGGGCGGGAGACAGGGGCAGGGCAGGGCAAGGAGGGAAGACAGCACGCGTGGCCCCGCCCCGGGCGCCATCGGAATGGGGGAGGGAGGCGAGGCAGGGAGGGCGCGCGGGCGGGTCGGACTCGAGGGCGGGCGGCGGTCCCACTTTGCAGGGAACGCGGCGGCGATGAACACCAAGTCGGACACGAGGATGGCGACCTGGGAGGCCGGCACGGGCGGCCGACGAGAGGCGGCCTCATGGCCCACATCCTCCACCTCCTCCACCTTCTCATCATATCTCGCCATCAACCTCGTCCTATCTCTGCACATCCTTCTCATCCTCCCGCCTCATCCTCGTCCCTCCAACTTCCTTCAACTTCCTTTTCCCACCTACCCCTCCTCTTCCTCCCCCACAAGCGGCTCCCTGCATCCCTCTGTGCCTGCCTCCCACCCTCTGTCCCTTCCTCCCATCCCTTCCTCCGTCCTCCCAGATCTGTTCCAGCCTTCCATCTTACATCCTCCCTCGTCCCACATCCATCCTCCCTCCTACCTCCCGAACCCTCTCCCATCCTCAGATTACTCCTCCTCATCATGCTCATCCTGACCCTGAGCCTGTTCCCTATCATTCGTCTGTTCCTCCTGCCATTCATACTATTCCTCATCCCCCTCGCCCTTCTTATCGTGATCCCCCTCCGCCCTCTGTTGTCTTCCAGATGCGCGCCTATGTCTTGTGGGCGGTAGCATGACTGCTGATACCGCCAATGTGACGATATTATGTGCACATGCGTTCCGTGTACATATGAGTTCTGGATCCACTCTTTAAATCATCGCTTTCATCATGAGTTAGCTGAACGCCCGATCATGTGCTCGTCTTCGTGAGGTCGTTCCTCGCTTCTCCTCGTGCCTGCTTCCTTGGCCCGATGTATCTTCTGGCTGTCATTGCCGAGGCTTGCCTCGTGCAGCCATGACTTCGCCGCCGTGCTCGCGCCTGCCTGCCGCCCTCCACTACGACGCGACGTACTTCGGCTGTCGCTTCAGGGACACGCGCAAATGTGACCTGATTACGTGGCATGGGGCTCCAGCAGATGGACAATAGATTCGAACCCTTACACATTAGAAGGAAATTCTAAATCACCCCCACGCCCCGGACATCAATGTTGATCTCAGTAGAAACGGCGCTTTGGGGTTCGAATATTTCTGTCCACTTACGCCCCCCCCGGCGTCACGCCTTCAATATCAATTTCGAGGAGTCTGGAGGGCATCTTGGGACACAGGGTTCGAATATCATGTCCATGTACGGTCCTTCAGGGCAGACTCTCATTCCCTGCACCTTGCCCTGAGAAACCCAGGCCCAGACTGTGACCAATACACGTGGCTGCCTCTGGACACGTCTAGACTTCAAGTGATGCAGGCTGGCTGGGAGGATCTGCGCGGGAATGGCACGGAGGCGACGTCTGCGTGGGTGGTGAAACTTTCTGGCTGACGTGGGGCGCGCACACGCTTCCCCCACGTTCCTCCAGGCCCCTGCCGCCCAAACCGAGCGTTCGGCCAGCGCCTCGTGTTCTCCCTGTGCGCGCCTCCTCATTACTCAAATTCGGCCCCGGGAGGCAGTGCGAGAATCCTGTGCTCGAGTATGTGGCGCATCCTGGCGATCGTCAACGACACCGTCGTCGTCAGCCTCATCGTCGTCGTCATCGTCGACATATCCACCGTCATCTCGGAGGTGGCCTTCAAGCAGAACTCCACCATCTCGGTCGATATGTTCTGAATCCGTGAGAGCGCCGCGGAGGCGACGCCCATGGCATCGGCTGCAGCGAGGGGGGGGGGGCTCTGAGAGGGGCGCCGGAGCGGCAGGAGGAAGGAGAGCGAGCAGGGAGGACAGAGGCGGAGGGAGCGGATTGCCAGAAGGCAGAGAACGGACGGGTGGTAAACCTGAGCCCAACAGGAACATGCTAAACAAGCAGAAGCAAACAGGCGACCAGTGAGCTCAGTGAGCACTGCGCGACTCCTAGCACTGCCAGCCAGGTAGAATGCGCATGCGTTCTGCTTCCCCGAAAGAGAACCAACAAATATCAAAAATAAAAATAAAACAACAACAAAAAACAAAAAAAAAAAAAAACATGTCAGCTGCAATAGGGAATGCTCCTCCTCCTCCTCCTCCTCCTCCTCATCCTCATCATCATCATCATCATCATCATCATCATCATCATCATCATCATCATCATACTCATCATCATCACCAGCATCATCAAGAACATCATCATCATCAGCAGCAGCATCATCATCAACAACAAAAACAGCACAAACAACAACGACGACAGCAACACCATCAACAACGACAGCAACAATATCATCATCATCAGCATCATCAACAATATCAGCAGCAGCACCCATCGTCGGCATCAGAATCCTTGTCGTCATCGTCATCGTCGTCATCGTCAGCATCATCATCATCATCAACAACAGCATCATCATCGTCCTCATCATAATCATCAGCAGCAGCAGCACCATCATCATCATCATCATCATCATCATCATCATCATCATCAACATCATCATCAGACTCATCAGACTCATCATCATCAGCAGCAGCATCATCAGCATCGTCATCAGCATCATCATCGTCATCGTCATCATCATCATCATCATCATCATCATCATCATCATCATCATCATCATCATCATCATCATCATCCGCATCGGGTAGCGAGATGGCATCGCGGCGCAGCGGACTCACGAGAACGCAGGCTGCCAGCATCATGTATCAAGCGAGGTATCAGCGGTGTCGGGGGGTCTCTGGATGTTTATCCGAAAGCGCCCGAGGCCTCCTGAGACCCCGAAGACACAAAAAAAGCCAGAAACGTCGAAGAACCTCAATACTCAAGCTTCGACCCTCGAACCTCCCCAGAGCGCACGGTCCGAACAAGGAAAAGCCCCCCTTTGCCTAGCGATCGCGCACATCGGGGGCCAAGAGCGGCATTGAGTGTCTCACGCGGGGGGGTCGCCCAACTCGCCCTCGCCGATCCGAGCAGGGCGGGCGGGGGTAGGCGGAGAGGAGCCAGAAGCTCAGAGGGAGGGAGAGAAGTGACTAATTACAGGGGGAAGGGGGGAGGGGGAGGGGGAGAAGCCTTCCCCCCTACCCCTAGCTTCTGAGAAGCCTTCCCCCTACCCCTAGGGAGGGAGGGAAGGAGGGAGGGAGGGAGGGAAAGAAGTGACAGGGTCACCCAAATTACACTAGTTCGAAGGTCGAGCTTCGAGGATCGAGACTTCTGCACGTTCTTGGCCCTTTTTGGACCTCTGGAGGCGTCTGGAGGCCGCCGGGAACCTATGAGAAGGAGGAGAGAGAAGAAGGAGGAGGAGGAGGAGGAGGAGGAGGAAGAGGAGGAGGAGGAAGAGGGAGAGGAGAAGGATAATTAAGCAGGAGAGGGGGGGAGAAAAAAGGAATAGAGGGTGGAAGGAGGCTGGAGGACGGCGCGGGTGGTGCCGGGTACCGATGCCTGGCTGGCCCCCTGGACACACGACAGCACGAGCTTGCTGAAATGAGCAACCTCATCGGAGAGCCAGGTGCCGCACGAACGAGACGAGCTCCGAAACATTCCCTTCGCGCGTGCTCTTCCGGCGGTGCCAAACATGGGACGCCGGCAGGTGCTCAAACGGGAGCGGCGGCAGTGGCGCACGGCCGCACCCCGCGGCCCAGACGCAGAGAAGGGGGCGTCGCCGTGGGTGAGGGTGCGTGGCGTGCTCCTGGGCCAAGCCACGAGGTAGGAGGACGCCGTCTATACAGTCAACCCGTGTAGCAAGGATGCGCGATGAGGATGTAAGGGCCTTGGACGCCAGTTTCGAAGCTGTTCGAGCGGGGCGCGGCCAACGAAAGTGGCCGAGGCTGGACCGAGGAGGCAAGGATGCAAGGGTACCCTTGGGAAGGTTGCCCATCCTTACTATGCGGGTTGACTGTACACCTGTATCGATCCTGGCCAGGCTCATCCTGGGCCCAGGATTGGTGTGTGGCCCACCTGGCTGAGGCATGAAGGCACATACGCCGATCCTGGGCCCACGATCGGCCTGGCCAGGATCGTTGTGTGTGTACAGCTGATGCCCTCCGACAGGGGCGGTCGAGTCGGCGTCCTGGGGGATGTTTCGGCGGTCGAGCTCTCGGGTGTTGCTCAAGCCTCGGAGAGCACGCTCGGGAAGACACCAGTGTTCACAGGATGCTACCAGAGAGGTGCCCTTGGCACCTCATGCGATTAATCACTCCCAGTCTCTCCTCCACCTCGTCCTCCTACACCTCATCCTCCTCCTCCTGCTCCTCCTCCTCCTCCTCCTCGTCCTGCTCCTCCTCCTGCTCCTCCTCCCTCCTCCTCCTCCTCCTCCTCCTACTCTTCCTCCTCCTCCTCTCCTCCTCCTCCTCCTCCTCCTCCTCCTCCTCCTCCTCCTCCTCCTCCTCCTCCTCCCTCCTCCTCCTCCTCCTCCTCTCCTCCTCCCCTCCTCCTCCTCCTCCTCCTCCTCCCCTCCCTCCTCCTCCTCCTCCTCCTCCTCCCCCTTCCCTCCTCCCCTCCTCTCCTCCCTCCTCCCTCCTCCCTCCTCCCTCCTCCCTCCTCCCTCCTCCCTCCCACTCCTCCCTCCTCCTCCCTCCTCCCTCCTCCTCCTCCTCCCTCCTCTCCTCCCTCCTCCCTCCTCCCTCCTCCCTCCTCCCTCCTCCCTCCCCCTCCTCCTCCCTCCTCCCTCCTCCCTCCTCCCATCCTCCCTCCTCCCTCCTCCCTCCTCCCTCCTCCTCCTCCTCCTCCTCCGCCTCATCCTCCTCCTCCGCCTCCCTCCTCCTCCTCCTCCTCCGCCTCCTCCTCCTCTCCTCCTGCACCTCTGCATATTCCACCTCTTTCTCTTCCTCCTGGAAAGGACAGAAGGCACAGCCACCCAACGCCCAGACAACCCGAATCCCCACGGTCACCCGCATCACCGTACCGAGGGAGTACACCAAGCTACGCCTGAATGGTCGGCTCTCACTGCGAAGCCTCCGACGCCGATACCAGTGGACCTAAACCTGCAACCAGCGCGCACCAACCACGATAGGCGTCCAAGTCCACTCGACTAGCCAAGTCGGGAAGCAAGATGACCTCGATACTGAAGTCGAACGAATGCAGGAGGGACATACCAAGTTACCTGCACAAGAACGACTCCGAGAAAATGTAAAATAACCCCGTTCCTGCCTGAGGACAAGAGGAAGAAAAAAGAGGCACAGGGAAACATATTTATGGATATGCGAGAAACGCCGAAAAGGGAGAAGTGAACAAAGATGTCAAATGAGAACACGAGGGTCAAGAGACGAAGTATGCAAAGTGGAGATGGAAAGCAGGCGAGTGGAATGAAGATGCCCGCCAAAGGTCATTTGCCCCATAGGCATTGCAGAGCAATACGCCTCCCTTCCCACCCCATGTGCTGGACATCAATCCACGGTGCTTCTCGCAACTCCACTCCTTTTTCTTTTAATCCCCTGTAATCTACAACGTCCGCCTCGGCCCCACGCCAAGCCACCAATGATCACAGCACATTGGGACCTGCGGAAACTAGCCGATGCATCGTGGGGAACTTCAGCGAGACCCGCCCCTTTGGCGAATCCGACTGGCCCAGACCCGCAGCTGGCCCTTACTCGACTCCTAGTGGCACATCGAAAGACGACTCATTGCACCGCAGCACAGGAAAGTCACAACATCTCTGTGGCTACCAGACCCAGTGTTCCAGGCGAGCGACGCACACTGCTGATGATGAAGACCTTGCCCTTAAGACCGGCCGATGATGTTTGAAACTTTTCCTATGGGACCAGAACTAGTTGCGGAACGATCAAGATGCGTGCGATACTACGTAGCGCCAATGTGCTGATCCTGCGGTGGGGTGCGATACTCATGGCGATATAGGCTGCAGTCGGGGAACTTCCGTCGCCCTGCAACACACTGATCCAGTGGAAATCCTGCTGCATCCCTCACGACACGCCGCATGCCTGCACTGGCTTTGTGCCAGCTCCTGCAGGGACACGATGTAACGCTTGTGTGCCGCATCCTAGGCAGACGCGTCTTTGCCAATGTTCGTCCTGCACTCATGGGAAGATGGGGAATTCTCTAAGAATTCTAAAGCTCAACATCAACTTCATAAAGGAGGTCTGACATTAGACCGATAACTGGATCTATAAACAAGCCTGCTTCAGAGAAGATCTGCGTCAAATGCCAACGCGGCGAAAACGTCCGAATCCCTGTCGATCAGAAACCGTGTTCTTCAACAGGCACTCGTCACTGCAAGCTGCCACCGACACATAGCTGCCACAACACCCACAGCAGCTCTCTCATCTGTCACTGTCTCACCATCTGCAATGATTTCGGCCCGTACTCGCAGTGGACTGGAAAAACAATCAACAGATTCACCCTACATCGCTACATGCATGAACAAATCCATCATCGACATCATCAACACGACCACCCTTACAATGATTATACATCATAGTCGTCGTCATCCAGACCAACATAAATGACTATGGTCATTGCAATCATGATTAGCATCATCCCCAGAAAGGTGATTCACATCTGCACTAGCGTTTCCATTAGTATACAATCGGCGTTGCCCTGTGCACTGCCGGTTGAGAACAATCAGCGCGAAACAAACGAAAGTGCTCATGGGAAACGACGCGCTACCTAGAAACAGTCGGCACCGAAAAGTAACAAAACAAGCGATCGCCTACCTGCCCTACACGCTTGCTCTCCCTCCAGCGGCTTCCTCACCCGCCCCGCCCTTCGACTACAGGGTTTGGAGACCCATGGCGCGCATGCTTGAGATCGGCACATGGCAGCGGTTTCAAGGTCTTGCGAGCGGACCCCTCCAACCAACCCTCGGCAAGGCTGCGCTGCCTGGGAAGCACCTCACTTCTGCCACTGGTTAAATCAGTGAGCGCTGGCATCGCCAGCTGATTTGACTCGCACACAACATTCAGAATGGGTCGCCAAAACATATGTGCACACGTATGCCCTTTGTCAAACAAGACCGCTGCGCATATAATCGTGATATATGTACCCATACATGCATAAATGCATACATGCATAAATGCATACATACATACATACATACATACATACACACACATACATACATACATACATACATACATACATACATGCATGCATACATACATACATACATACATACGTACATACATACATACATGCATGCATGCATGCATGCATGCATGCATGCATGCATACATACATACATACATACATAGATGTGCATGTGTATATAAAAAGTGCCTGTAGTTGAGGAGTAATACTTATGTCACTAAACAATTGATTGGGTCAGGCGAGGACTCTGCACGGTGCCGCCCGTGGCCACCTTGTGGCCGCCTCGTGCGCTGGGCGGGTCCAGCGAGGTTTCGCCACGTTGACGCCAGTTGCTGCCTCGTGGCCGCCTCGTGCGCTGGGCGGATCCAGCGAGGTTTCGCCACGTTGCCACCTGTGGCCGGCTCGTGGCCGCCTCGTGCGCTGGATGGGTCCGACGAATTTTCGCCTCATTGCCGCCCGTGGCCGGCTCATGGCGGCCTCGTGCGCTGGAAGGATCCGACGAGGCTTCGCCACGTTGACGCCAGTGGCCGCCTCGAGGCCACCTCGTGCGCTGGGTAGGTCCGACGAGGTTTCGCCTCATTGCCGCCCGTGGCCGCCTCGTGGCCGCCTCGTGCGCTGGGTGGGTCTGACGAGGCTTCGCCACGTTGACGCCAGTGGCCGCCTCGTGGCCTCCTCGTGCGCTGGGTGGGTCCAGCGAAGCTTCGCCTCATTGCTCCCGTGGCCGCCTCGTGGCCGCCTCGTGCGCTGGGTAGGTCCGGCGAGGTGTCGCCCCATTGCCGCCCGTGGCCGCCTCGTGGCGGCCTCGTGCGCTGGATGGGTCCGACGAGGCTTCGCCACATTGACGTCAGTGGCCGCCTCGGGATGGCCTCCTGCGCTGGGTGGGTCGGGCGAAGTTTCGCCACGTTGCCGCCCGTGGCCACCTCGAGGCCGCCTCGTGCGCTGGGTGGGTCCGACGAGGTTTCACCACCTTGCGGCCCGTTGCCGCCTCGTGGGCTTGGACGCCTCGCGCATACACTACATAGCTCACACCACATAGAACGCACCACACAACTTGAATTTCGTAGCCCATACTTTATGAAATTTAATAGCTTCTACGACATAGCTCACAACTCACAGATCACACCATGTGTATTGCCCACATGGCTTACATCACATAGCTCACACCACATAGATTGCACTGCATGTATTGCACCACTTAGATTACACAGCATAGCTCGCACAACGTAGCTTGCACCACATATATTGCACCACTTGTATTGCAAGACAAGGTTACCACTACATAGCTCATACCACATATCATGCACCATATATGTAGATATATACACATATACATATACACTACTTCGCATAGCTCACACCACGTAGATTGCACCAAATGTGTTGCGCCATATAGCTTACACATCACAGTCCAAACTACATCGCAAAGCGGTCAGAGCGTCGACGATGGTCCTGGATGACCCGAATATAGCCCTAGATAGCCCAAGGTGGCGCAAGATGCTCCATGTAAGCTCAACATTGTCTCCAGCATGCATGCAAAAGGCCCCGAGATGGCCGCAAAACGGCCGGAGGCGGCAACGGAGACCGCAAGGATACCCCATAAAGGTCAAAAAGCGTTCGGCCTCCAGAGTTGTTCAACGCGTCAGTGATTTAGTGAAGGTCACCCACAGATGGCCCAAGAGAGCCCCACGAGAGGCCCAGACTGACACCGATTTGGCCCCAAGCGAACCCAAAGAGAGCTTCAAGATCCTCCCAAAGGGGCCAAAATATAGCCCGAAGGGGCATTCAAGAGGCTCCCTCTCAGCTTCCCGTGGAAAGACCCGCGAAAGCCTGTACGGTCGACTCCTGAATGCTTCGTGCCTCTCCGTTGTCAGCCTCTGATAGAGAGGAATGTGAAAACGATCGGTCTTCTGCCCCCTCATTCGTGTCACTTCATGCTACTGGAAAACCGCGATCACGGTACCTCGCATGGGGATCGCTTCTGGATGGACTAGCGACGATACTTACGCGCGCGAATCAAACATCCAGACTGGTTGGGAGAAGGCCTGGCTACAGCATGAGAGCACTCGATTTATGCGTCGCACTTGCTTCGTCGCAAACTCTCGCCAGAGCAAATAAGTTGAAGCCCCCTGGAAACATCAGAAGCAGAACGGATCACTGCATGCAACAAACATGAGGGCGTCGCTTGGAAGAAGCAGACACAGCCTCCTGGAGATACGGGGAACCCCCTTCTGACCTTTGACGCGACTGCTTGCTGAAACGATATCCCTTCCAAGAACAGCGTCTTGAAGAGATACGTTATATCATGCTTCGTACTGGAGCCGCAACAAAGAAAGTGAACTAACGTCTCCCGACGCCTGGGCCTATCCTGGGACGCTCGCGGCCGACACCACACATAAATTGCCTTACGGATGAAGTCGGCGCAGAAATTGGAATGAAGGTGGGCCGAGGGAAACGCGTCGATGGCTCCTCTGGCCAGCAAAGGAGCAGGCAAAGCCAAATTAATTATGAAAGAGCGGCAAGCGTTCTCGCCGAGGACCACCGATGCCGGCAAGGCGCCCACGATCGAGACAACGATCACAATGCAAACCAAGACCCCAAACTCCCCGCAAAAGCCCAGACGACCTCAAGCGAACCTTACACTTGCGCGCCCACGTTTCAAAAGTCTTTGCGGGAGTCCGGAATCAGGTTGAGGTATGCGGGCCACGCGAACCTCGGCAGGGTCGACCACCCCTGTTGTAGTGGATCCGCACGGCAGGGTTCGAGTCTGTGGCCGCATGCCTGCACCCCTTGGAACAGGGCATGGCGACACAACCACAACCACCACCCGCGAGACGCGCCAGGGAGGGCCATCCTGGTTTGGTCCCCCCTGCGCTCGAGAGACTCCACATCCCCAGCTCGGGGAGGCATGGTGGACCCTCGCTGGAGGTGGCCCACCTGGTGGCAATGGTGTCGGCTCTCTTTCCTCCGTCTCCTCGTCCTCCTCCTCCTCTACCTCCGCTTCGCCTCCTCCTGCTCCTGCTCCTGCTCCTCCTGCTCCTCCTCCTCCTCCTCCTCCTCCTCCTCCTCCTCCTCCTCCTCCTCCTCCTCCTCCTCCTCCTCCACCCCTCCTCATCCTCCTCCTCCTCCTCTTCTTCCTCCTCCTCGGCCCCCTCCTCCTCGCATGTTCCCAAGAGGTGTCGCGAGCGTGAGGGCCAGCGCGATTTCTGTGGTTCGGCGCACCCCGTCGTATCCTTCGCCGCCGCGCTGGCCTGGCGACAGCTCCCTGCTGAACCCGGGACCGCGGCAGCCTAGGGCGCTCAAGCGCGAGCGGGCGTCCACTCGCAGGCGGGGGAGGCAAGCACTGGGGCGCAAAAGGACACACAACAAAAATGAGATCCTCCTTGAGGCGCACGTCCGAAACAGACATACGATCAAATATATCATAAAATGTCGCTACCCAAGCGGTACGGCCAGAAAGCGCCCGCCACTGACCAAATACTACCAAATCTCTGAGCGCGCACGTGGTCCCCGGGGAACCGACGCACACATGACATAAACATATTTGGGGAATGCGGCCGATCGGAATCCCCTCCCCAAGGCCGACCCTGGGCCCAGGGTTCGTGTGTGCACCTGCTGACAGAGAACCCTTGGCCCCTGAAGTCACAAACAAAAAACTGAAAACCTGAGCCACGCCTGCGAAATACATGCCTTGCTCTACGCGACCTCACGGCGAATAAGCAGTGGAACAACATGAGCATGTACGCAGCACGCAAATGCATTTCGAATTTCCGCACAAGACTCCCCGGCCTCGGCGCGCCAGCACCCGAACTAAATGAATCGTTCACTGAAACCATGAGAGTGGATGCCTGTGAGTCGCGCGAACACAGGTGAAATCACATGGAGACAAGAACACTGGGGCCTGGGGCAATTCGCCGACCCTGCCAGCGCTCGTGAAGGGTTTTTCCGTTTGAATTGTCGTCGTGGCCGTTCCCCTCCCTTGATGCTTGCCCATTTGAATCGTCGTTGTCGCCATCGTCGTCAACGCCGTCTCCACTCCCCCCATGTCCTTGGCCCTCCTCCTCAAACGTTCTAGCCAAAGAAAAATCCGGCAACGTCCCTTTGATTCCTCCCTTGCCAATGAAAGGAGAGTTCAGAATGGAAGTTCCAAGTCGGATGCCGAGGACAGTAGGGGGGGAGTCCCGAACGGGTCCGGAGATGGCCCCCGTGGTTGTGACCCCGTGCAGGGGGTGAGCACACCTACCTGGAAAAAGCTTTCCCCTTCGATTTCTTGCCTCTCAAACGTGTCGAAACACATGCACCGTGGTTTGCCCAAAAGAACCCTGGAATAACCAAGATGGGTCCAAGACAACCTAAGATACCCTCAAGGCGGCGGCCTCAGAAAGACACCCAAAGAGAACTCCAAGAAGAAAATCAGCGCCCACGAACCTCCCAAAAAGCTCAGACAACCCAAAATGATTGATTAATTCGCTCAATCTCTTGAATCATTTGTCGTTACCGAGATGCCGTCTTCGTTCCTGGTAACGTCGACAGATTCGGCCGTGAGGCCTTCGCAATCAAATTCGAACAAAACATCGGGCCTCGGGCAGTTGGGAATACTACCAACCGAAGAATTAGCACCAACGCGAAACAGCACCAAGGCCAGGGACATGAACAAGAACGTGGGGGCGTGAACGGTTTTTGTTTTATGTGTAGTGTGTTTCACGTTTCAGTTATATGATTT